CACGCCCTTTGAACTCTCTCAGTAGGTTGAAATAGTTCTTGATCAGATGGTTTTTCAAGTGCCTTTTGTCTTTCCAGGCTCCGAAGAAGGTGAAGGCACCGAAATGTCAGCCTAATAAACATTGTTGCAATCTCGGTTTACCAGCTCAGAAGAAAAACCTCAGAACTATCTTAGGGTTTCTAGATTCTGACGAAGGCGATAAAGCTAAAACGTAATTTGAGTAAGAGTTTCTTTATCATCTTGGTTGCAGGTTTTATAAAAAGTCTCATGAGATCTATTCAAAGCCATGCCAAGATTCATTGTGAGTCGAAATTGGATACTTATGAAACCATAACTGTATTTCCATAATCGTTTCGCAGATTTGAAAGGTGTATTCGAGATCATTTTTGAAAGCGACAACGGCGGTATGGTTCAAATCTCATCTGAATGGTAATTGCAACATAAAATTTTCTTCATGTGTCTGATGGTCAAATTTTTGCACATTTCCCGTTCATTCCTTTGCTATACGGCAAGATAATAAATGAAATCGTGGCAAGGCACCCCTCATATTTTTGAGAAAATGAAAGGTAGCAACATCGAGCAAAATAATCGACAGGGAGGTGAGATTCCCAACCAATTTCTTGCTAGTGACTTTCGAGCATCAGGATAGACGTGATGAGGCTATGTAATCTTTTTACTTTCTACGCCTTTGTTGTCTTTTACATAATTTCCGCGAGAAAGGAAACAACGATGTATAGCAATCTGCAATTTTGGCGCATCCCTCGTTAAACCTCGGTTTATTTACGAAGCAATGGAGCTATTGATGATATAAAATTGAAGATGCAAGATTCGTTTCTGTTCCGTTAAAACAAAGCTGAACGCATGATAACCACATTGCCATTTTCTACCATTTCATGATGACTTTTCATTCCAGCGTTGACCGCCGAGAAACATACAATACTCCTGTGCTCGCGAATCCACAGATGGTTGATTCGCGACCACAGGAGTATTGTGTGTTAGTAGTCAAGCATTCTTCACGAATATTCCGTGATCTGGAGATTTTCCGGAATTCTTTATCCTTTGCCTTGTTTTCTGAGCTGAACAACAGTGATTTTTCAGGTGTGTTTGTTATTGGATGCTCGAATAGGATAGACCTTATAGATTCAGCATTGTTGCGCCCAGGAAGATTCGATCATATTTTGGAATGCTCAATGCCAGATGAGGTAAAGTAATTTGCTGCTAGAACACCGAAATCGTTGTTGAAATTTTTCTTGGTTACATGAGTATTACGTTGCTCTTCTGAGGGAATAGAATCCAAAAGATTCAGCGATATCGGCAACTTAAGTTTTGCTTCGAAATAAACCTACTTTGCCCTTAATTTGTATCCCCGTTTTCTACGCGATTTCTCGAGCACATTAGCTCGAAAATGCTCCGTGAGTAAGAACTTCCACCCCTCATGCTCTGTTCAGTTTGTTTTCTCTTGGAATACATGTGTCTCATAATTACCGTATATTTCTAAGTAGAAGATCTCAGTAAAACCGAAAAGTATTGAATGCCTAAGCAGTCACTCTAGGTGCCTCCTAGCGAGTGTTATATTGTTTCAATCGAAGTTTGTTTACTCGAGATGTTGCAAAGGAGGTAGTCTTCTCCATCGTCCCTATTGGTTTTTTACGTCCCCATGAGCTCCATTTTACCAGTTCATCGTATCTTCTCGAACATTTTCTCGCTTTTATTTCGTTCCCTTTTTTGCTGTATTGATGGTACTATCTAGTTTTCTTTCCTTTTCACAACATGTTTTTTTCAAACACTCTAGATCTTTAGACCAACAGTGTGCCTTCAGTGCATCTTGCATGTTGGTTCATGTTAATTCAACATTTATTCGACTTACAGGTCGGAGAATTGTTCAAACAGATAAAGAAATATAAGTTGAATAAAATTACAGATTTATGATAATGATGACATAAGCATTGAGGAACATGCTCAAGTTCTTGAACCTAGTGAAGGAAACCGATGAGGCAGGGGGTGTGCCGTGATACGAGGAGTGAAGCACAATCACCTGTATCACCTGTCGTCCCGTTGATCACCGACTTCCTCGAGCCGGCGCCAGTAACCTCTCCATTCGTCCTTGCCACGAGCGAGAGCGGTCCAGTGAATCGTACTCGCTTCAGGGACCCGATATCCAACATTTCTCTCGTTCAGAGCTTTCGTGAAGAAGTCTGAGCAACGCGTTGGCGGCCTTCCTGGAGTTCGTTTGATGTCCCGAGGGATCCAGTCAGTAACAGCCCTGGTCCAACGGTCATCACTATATTGCATAACGTGCCCGGCCCACCTGGGCTTCGATTTCTTAGCGTAGTTAACGGCATCTCTGATTTTCGTTCGATGACGCAGGAACTCCGGTTCCCTTCTGCACCTGCGTGTATAAGGAAATTCCGAGCATCTTCCTTTCCAAAGCGCGTTAAGTAACGCTGTCAGCATGCTCATCCTGCTTTCGCAGAGTCCAAGTCTCCGAGGCGGAGCGTCAAAGCAGGAAGGGCATTAATGTCGAAAAGGTGAGCGCGAAACCGGATGTTCTTTGTGTTTTTCAATCCTCCCCCGATATTCTTGAATGCTCCCCACGCGGCGTGTTTCCTTCTACATAGCTTCGGAGCTAGGTCGTTCATTACGTTGACTTTTCGTCCTGGATACACATAGCTATAGCATTCGGAGGTATTTTGGTTTAGTGTGAAGGGAGCATCAGGTACCAATTCGTTTTTTCTTGAACGAGGTCTTCGTTAAATTCAGTCTCGAGCCGATTTTTCCACAAGCGCTGCCAAACTCGGCCAGCATTCGTTCCGCCCGCTCGATGTTCGGTGCTATAAGCGCGACGATGTCGTCTACAAAGTGTAGGTGATGTAGATAGCGGCCGTCGACCTTCAATCGCAAATATCCCCATTACAAATGATGGATGATATTCTCGAGAGCGGTACAGAAAGGTTTGTGCGGAATCGCCCGCCGTAAACTTCTCTTCACGTCGATAATGACTTCCTCGTAGAATGGTGAATCCTAGTCGCGGAATTGTCGTTGATCTCACGAAGCATCCTTATATATAGAGTACGAACACCCTGGTCCCCCAGGGCTCCAATCACCGCTTCTGTCCCAGCGGTATCAAAGGCTTCCTTCAAATCGATGAACGTAAGACATAACGACATTTTGTACTCTCGTGATCCTTCAAGGAGTCCTGTAAGAGTGCGGATATGATCGATTGTGCTCAACTCTCTCCGAAACCCTGCTTGCTCGCATGGGTCTCTTTCATCTAATATTCTGCCAATCCTGTTCAGGAAGATGGGAGTGAAAAGCCTGTAGATTACAGACGGCAGGCACATTGGGCGATAATTGCAAATGTCGTCTGGATCTCCCTTTTTGTACAGCACGACCCGGGCACTTAACATTCTGGCAGGTACCGCGTGAAGAGCTTGTCCAGAGTTTTTACGATAACTGGTGGAAGACTCTTCAGATATACTGATGTCGTACAATTCTTCATCGACGTGATGGCTTGTCGAATTCCGGAAGAGAGAACCGAAGGAGCAATATATTCGTCTTGCCTGAGATGGTGTGTAAGCAGGTAGACGAGGCTGTCGATTAGATCCGAGTAGAAGTCGTACATGGTCTTCCCCATTGTCCTTCGAAATGCAGTAAATGTTCCGCCAGGACGGCGAAGGAAAGTCATCTTGGTCTTGTAATTGTCGTAAGTTCGGACGTTCGTTAATGATTGCCTACAGCTCGCGAGCTCGAGAACCTTCAAAGAGAGTCGTCTGTAGGCTGCTTGTAGAATCTCTGTTTTCCTAGCAGTATCGTGAAGTTGTTCGACGAGCCTGTTGTGATCTTCATCGATGTTATCGCTAGCGGAATCTTCACACAAACTCGCCAGTGAAGCGAAGTGATCCCAAACAGTCTTGGGGCCTCGTTTCCTGAATTTCGCAGCTCTCTCTCGACTCACCGAGAAGCGAACTAGCGCGGAGGAGACGATGGTCTGATCCCAAGTAGAACTTCGGAACAACCAATAACAACCGGAACTACGCCAGCGATAACATCGATGAAGAATACAACAGGTTCGTCGAACTTCTTCACGATACTGCTAGGAAAACAGAAATTCTACAAGCAGCCTAGAGACGACTCTCTTCGGAGGCTCTCGAGCTCGCGAGCTGTGGGCAAACATTAATAAACGTCCGAACCTGCGACAGCGACGTCAGTCAGGTAAAACTTTCGAATAAGGATGATGCGATCTATTCCATTATGGAACGGCCCACCAGGTGAGTCCCATGTCCACTGTGAATGATAGGGCTTCTGGAAACGCGAGAGGCTTCTGGAACTGGCTTCTGGAACTATAGTGTGTCAACCTGCTCATTCCATTCCATTCCTTAAGTCCCGATGTGGAGCTCTTCAGTGTTTCTTCTGAGGCCCTTTTTTCGTTAAAATCATCGACGATGACCTTCACTAACTGGCTAGGTTCCTCAATCCTCCTAGTTCCCCGCATCAGCTGCTCTTGTAGGGTTGCTATCTCTTCTAATCACGGGCTGAGAAGGGTAAGAGATGCCAGCGAGGTGAATGACAGCTCTATAAGAAAAAATGAGGAGAATGGATTCTACTAGGAGTCCACAGGTACTAACAAATACGACTGAGCAGAAAATTTTGGAATAATACGGTACAACAGTAGCACGTGTCTTTTGTGAGCTGCCTGTGCTCAATTTCTGTAAGTTCTATACGGCTGCTAACAATTACTTCCCTAACCATTATGTCGCCTTCATATTCTATCTTCATTTCGCGTTATTGGTTATCCTGTCTAAAAAGTATCTCAAAATGAACTGATGAGACTATCTGCTAGTTTACTCTTGTTTCTGTTCCCTCGAATTACAAATTGATTTGCCTGATTTCGCTGAAATAAGCTAGTTCAATAGAACACTTTATTTAGAAAAATCGACGTGAAATTCTGAGAGCCCTCCTGCGATCTGTAAGCCACGATCCAGCGGTGTCTATTGACGAATTGGCTGCCCGAACTAACGGCTGGACTGGAGCTGATTTGAAAGCCCTGATTATAAATGCTCAGTTCGATGCTTTGAGAAGATGCTCTCTCGGTAAGTAGCCTGGTGCTGTGCGAAACAGCTCGCTGACAAACATTTCCATTCTCTTGTTTCACAATGTTCACCGTTGCTTACAAGGGAATGACCCAAGTCGAAGAGGCAATTCGAAATGGGACCTATACTGCTAGGCGTATTTTTTT